CTGTGGTGGTGACTCTGACTGCTGCGGTGCTTGCTGCTCTGCTGTGATTGAGCGGATAGAGGCAGCATTTGAGGTCCCGTTTTCGCTTGGATTGATGTCAGAAGGGATCATGTTTCAAAACTGTGTTTGCTTATTGACTTTTCCAATTGTCAGCTTTGGCCTGTACTTCAGGCCATCACAGCTCAGGGGAAGGTGATCTGATAGACGCAAGCAGTGCAACTAGTGGACTGTCGCAAAAATGACAGACAGAACTGCCACTGCTTGTGTGGTATTCATACGGCGTTCCTAATTAGCGGACTTAGAGATCCAATAAGTATTTCACTTATCTTGCACCAATCATCTTGCACCTCGCCACCACCAGAATGTGCAGCAGGCTGAAGGAGAGTGACAGTAGCAGGTGGAATGACAGGGTGGTGGAGGAACCAGATAGGGCACAGGAGAGTGCCTTGTTTTGTATCAAACGACAAAATTCTACAAACAACACTAGTGAAACACCTTCCTCTACATAACCAACATTGCAATATAGGTGATGATGTGATGTCACCATTTCTTCAACGTATGCAAACCACTAAATCTTAATTTGTAGTAATCTAAAAGCTCTCAAATTATCACATGAACATGTTTGAAATGCAACGTAGTACCAGCATTCCAAAAAGAACTTTGATTAGGAAGGCAAACAAGTGTACACCCATGTTGATGACAAATAACAAAATTCCTGTCTAGTGAGGCAGACGAGTTTGCTTTGAGCCCCAGCCGGACCGAGCAGTGGACATGTGCTGCATTTGTTCTGACGCTGCTCTGTTGCACGACACTAGCAAAACAGTATTTCTGCGAGTCGCCAGTTGTTTTTTTTTTTTTTTTTTTTTTTCCGCAAATGCTTTCTATTTTCCTTCTCCAGTTCAATAACAGCAGGGACGAAACAAATAAGGGCCCGACTGGGATGGAGAGATTTGGAGACGGGAAGAGAAAAAAGAGAGAGAGCAAGGAAATGGGAAAGGAAAGGAATAGGGAAAGTAAAGCCAAGAGAGACCCAAAAGCACGACACCCCAAGAAGACACCCTATCTAAAAGCCCCCTTCACCTACCCCCCCCCCCCCCCCCCGACGCCCCTCAAAACGGAGCGGACACCAAATACTGAGCGTCCACCCACAGTGCCCTCCCCAACTCCTCAGTGTCCTCCCTCTCCCTGTCCACCAGATCGATATCTGCTCCTCCCATAGACGATGCAGCGCGAAGCAGAATGACTCGAGCTTGGGCACGCTGCAAAGCCACCCCAATCATAGCCTTCAAGGATCCCATGAGATAAAAGGAAAAGGACTGGTCATCCTCCCGACACGCCCCCCTCGAAACGGCAAGTCCGAAATGTGCGTCCCCCTGCTGCCGCAGCCAACGCCGAAAACGTCCACCTAGGCATCCCCATGTCTCAACAATCAAAGGGGTGAACTGCACTCCCCGGTTGCGCGCTAACAGCAGCGCGTAATCTCCCGTCTTCCTGCGCTCCCACTCCCTGGCCGCCACTCCTATAGACCGCCCACACTGCCCGACCAAGGCTGGAGACAGTGACAGTGGATCGGCAACACTGACCTCCAGAGCATGCGCCTCCCCCGCCGTTGGTCGGCGCACCGCAACATCCACCCGCTTCCCTACCAACATCGAGTCGTCCTCCATCGACACCACCCCTCCCGACGCCTTAGCGATCCTAGCCACCGCAAACTTTACCTCGTCGTGCACCCGTGACGGCCCGTGCTGGTGCTTACAGCGCAATGCATGGTGTGGATCTGCCGGGTCCGTGTACTCAGTGCCGCAAATGCAACGACCTGCGACGTGCAGCTGCTGAATCGGAAGGCCCAAACGCACAGCCGCGGCAATGCCCCACTCAGCAGCTGTAAAGGTCAAGTCTGAATGGGCAGGCACCGCCGAGACCCAAGCACCAGCTCCCGGGCCCTGGAGGGATGTGAAACGGGCCAGGGTAGCATCGTCACGGGCCATACAACGGAGGGCCTGGAGCTCCTCCACAGCTAACAGCCGCTGCCGTGTCTGGAAAAGTCGAACTGGTGGGGCCGCTACGCAGAGGTGGAGACCCGGCATCTCCTGGCGTACAGCGTCAGGCAGCTGCTCGAGGCTCTTGGAGAACCACGGGTCGAGAAAATCCACCCCCCCCGAAGAGCTGAGGTAGTCCCTAAACATCGCCTCCTCTCCCGCTATCCCCAACTGAGCCACACCTCGCACCGCCTGCGTCCATCCGCAGGCATAGGAGAGTGGGCTCAGAGACGCCGCAGCCCGTACACCGAAACCACCCAGACGGACTGGGAGGTGCAGCTGCAGGCGCGCCAACCTAGACCGACCAGGGTCGTGCTCCTATGTGCCAGGGGGGAAAAGTTGCTCAAAAGAGTCCTCCACCCTGCTGTCCCACTCCCTAAACGCCTCCACCACCTCTGGTCGTGGTGGCACCGTCCGAGCAAGATACATAGGTCGTGCCGACACTGCAATGGCCAGAAGGTGCGCCGCCATCTGGGGATGCTCGAGCAAAGGGAGCCAAGGAAGGGGCGCCTGCAACTGCTGTAGCCGCTCCCGTAACCGAACAACCTCCCAATCCTCATCCCCAATCGGAACGCCAACTACCGTCAAACCCTCCTCCGTCCGTTGCATGCCAGGTGGCAACCGCTCCTCCAAATCAGCTCCCCCCCGCTCCCAAAACCGACACTTATGGGCCTGCACTTGCAATCCCACTGACTCCAACTGCTCCCGCAGCACGCCAAACGCCTCCAAAATCCGATCCCCAGGACCCAAAATGTAGGTATCGTCGGCATAGCTCAGGAACAAGACATCGGCGAAACCCTTGATGACCGGCTCCATGACCTGCTGCTGCGCGAATGCAAACAGGAAAGGGCCCAACGGGTCCCCCTGTCTCGACCCCCTTGCAGAGACCAGTGTCTCCACAAAAGGGCCTGCCCTCAGGTAGAGGTCGCTGGGCGACCCATAGAAGACACTCAGGAAGGGGATGAGACCTGAGAAAGGCGAGTCTCGCAACCCCTCGAACATCGCGCGCCGATGGAAAGAGTTAAATGCGTTCGCGACATCTATCTGCAGCGCGCACCAGTCAGGATGGGTCGCCAGGGACGAGCGAAAAGCGTGGGTGAGTATCTCAACTCCCGCCCTGGTCCCCGCCCCCAACTGGTTACATGGTAGGAAGTGTGAGGCCATGGCTGGGCGAAGTGTGATGCAGAGTGGTCGTGCAAGGATGCGCGGCAGCACCTCGCCAGTTGTTCTTGGTCCCTCCCTCCATCATCATCACCTTGCTGACAACTTCGGGTTGAGTTTAACTTTGACACATGTTGCACTCTGTTCCGATGGATAACGTTGAATTATGAAATTGGTGGTGTGATCCAGCTTGGCGCCGCGCTGAACATGAAATGCCAGCGGCCTTAGAAGGGCGTTACGTCACGTGGAGTCAAGTGGGTCCGCACCCCGAAGGAGTTGCTTCTCATTTGGCATCATCGGGTTACACCAAGAAACCACTGCTACTGTAATGGTGATGGTGATCTATCCCTGGTATTTCACCAGCTCCAGCTTCCACCTACGGTCACATAAAGCACCTGGTCCTAAGTCTCGTGATGCTTGGAACTCCCTGGAGGAAAAATCAAGGGGATTGGCTCGTAACAGTCAGGCGATACAATGTTGCTCGCTCGCAGTGTTTCTTGCCGCTCCATGACTCCCACTTCCAGTAATGGAACAGCGTTGGCTCTTATGATAGTTTCCATCCCCTGTCATTGCGTTTCCGCCGAGCTGTCATCATCACTCTGAACAGCATCTATGAATCAGTTTTCACACCGATTTAGGAAAGAGCTAATTCTAGGTGTGTAGAGGTTCCGTTCACTGGATTTTAGCCCAGTTAGAACATACTACACGGCTAGCTTACTTTTAACCCTAGATGTGTACACGGATGCCAAATATTTTTTCCTGGTTTGGTGCGCTGCAACTGTAGCTGGATTCTCCTTTTCGTTTATTGGTTCCTTGCCCCCCAACCAACCTCGTCGTTCCCTGCGTTCCACGAGCCTTAGTTGTCCCCTTCCTGCAACCAAAGCAAGTGTACTGTAGATTTAAACTGTACAGTACACGCACAACTCCTTCTCAGCTGGACGGTGCCGCGGCGGATTTATGCTCCAATAACTCAACGGTTGAGTAGGATGCGCTGCACTTTGCCGGTTTTCCTTAGTTCACCGCTTGGAACCGCCACTCACCTTTCTCAACAGAGATACTTGAACAAACAACGAGCCCAGCAGCATGCCTTCATTCCGTCTAACCAACTTGATCTTGGGAATACAATATCTTGGTTTCTGGGAGCTCAACATTTACTCAACCTTATCCTCGATCAGCCCATGATTTGCCTCTGGAATTGTAGCCACGCCGCAATGTGACCTTCTGTGTCTAATTAGGTACCTCTAATTTGCAGACGTCACCGCTTCTACAAATAATAGCTTTTGTTACACTCACAAATCTCCCCGCTTAGGTCGGACTTCAGGCTTTGAATTGGAACAATCAACAGGTTTTTTTTTTTTTTTTTCGTCTTAACTAATATTTCGAAGTTGAAGCACGATGCGGCCAAGATCCGTTTCTCCGTCACCTCCATCGCGCGATGCCACCACTGCCGATTCAGTTCATAATAGGGACGGCCGGACCGTCAGCCCGTTAAAATCGGCAGCCAGCGGCTCGACACTGCTCGAGCGCCGGCAGTATCGACCCCTCGCTGTAGTCACGCACGGACGGCCGGTGTCCGCTCGTTCTTCTCACCATCATGACGACGACCATCAGGATCGCGATGCTTCGCAACCCGGGGATAGAATCAGTCCATCTTACTCAGCTACTCGCAACAATTCAGGAACGGACGGCCATCCGCAATCGCATCAGCATCACCATGATTTTTCCAGCAAGCCCCCTCGCTCGCCGCTCCACTCCCCGTTTCACTCCCCCCGCGGCGGGGTTACGCGCAACCTTCACCCAATGACTCCCCCCGCGAGCTGGTCCATTACCAGCGCGGGGGGGGATTTGGGGGGGATTGGCGGAGGGGGAATTGGCGGAGACTTCCCTGGCGGAGATAAAATGGGCGGCATCGGCGGAGATAACAGGCTTGGCGGAAACCACAGCAGGAGCGGTACTGGAAGCAGCGGACGCCGCAACGGGCTGGAGCCGCCTTCAAGCTCCCGCCATTCTAGGTCAGCCGCGTCAAGCCCCCGGGTAATGGATTCCGTTTTCGGGCTCGGGAAGGAGAGCAGCCAGAGTGGACGGCGCGCGTCTTTCGAGGAAGGCGCGGCGGAGTCTTACGTGACAAAGTCTCGCCGCGAGTTTCCCAAAGGTTCGGTCAGCCCACCTCGTCGCGCATCTGTCGACGCGTCGGATTTCGTCAATTTCGCCGGCGAATCAGGCGCGCGAACGCGGGCCAATCGTGGCTCGCCTCGCGTGTCTGATGACTTCGATACAAGCCAATCCGATACTCGCTCGACTGAACTACTGCCGCATCCGCCGTCGTTTGAAAATCTAGTTGAAAAGGACGCGCAGTCAGTCGACTCGCGCGAAGCGCCCGTCTCTTTCCGCGAAATTTCCGCCGCCGGCGGTGACGCCAGCACTTCCGTTACCTTCCACAGCCCTGCGGAATGTTCGCCGGTATCTCCGGCGCTATCCCCGGCGCGATCTCCGGCGTTATCCCCGGCGTTATCCTCGGCGGGATCTGGGACCGCATCCCCAGTAACCGGTTCTCCGGGGCGGAAAAAAGTATTTAACTATTCTGTCGTTAACTCTTCGTCAGACGGCGCGAAGAGGGAGGCTGTAACCCCTTCCGAGCATAGGGTTACCAGACGCAGTCAACAGCTCGCGGGCGAACGTGCGGATACGGACAAAAAGCCAATAGGCGGAGAAATTCCCGCTTGGCTTCCCAGCGGGGGGGTGAAGCAGGCGGAAAGGGATCTGTGGGGGCCGCCCCGCGGGGGGAGCGGAAGCAGGGGCGGAGGGGGAAGCGCGGGGGTTCCTCTCGCCTTCTCCGTCTCCCCGCGCGGCTCGCCGCTCGGGTCTCCGCTGCGGCCCGAGAAGCGGCTGGTGTCTTATGCGTCGCTAGACCCCCCTGGCTCTTTTAAGAGTCGGGGAGGTAAGGACGGTCTAGACTGGCTGGAGGAGATTAAGAATGGAGGGGGAGGAGGGGGCGGTGATGGCGGAACTGGCGGAGGAAGCAGTAGAGGCAGTGGGGGCGGCAGGGGAGGGGAACTGCGGACGAACGGGGGAGAGGCTGGGGGGGAGAGCAGGCGGGGTGCGCTTGCCTCCGGAAGTGGCGGCGCTGGCGGTGGTGGCAGCTTCGGTCGAATCGGGGGAAGCGGAGGAGGGGGAGGCGGAGGGGGAGGCGGAGGGTTCGGGGGAGCAGGCGCTGGTCCGCGGGGCGCAAGCGCACATGCCATGGGCGGCGCAGGCCTTCCTTTCCCCTCGCGTCCCCGTAGCTCCCCTTTAGGAAACAAGCTCATGTCCTATTCGTCCCTGGACCGCCCCTATAGGCCCGCGGAAGGGGCAGGCGGGGAGGGGGACGCGGGGAACTTGAGCTGGCGCCAGCTGGTGGCGCAACTGAAAGAGGGGGAGGAGTTGAAGGAGGGGGGAGAGGGGGGGGAGGGGAGTGACCGGGAGGAACGAGAGCGCAGGGGCACCAGGGCCGGTAGTAGCAGCCGTGGTGGTGCTGGTGGGGATCGAAAAAGCGCCGCCGGTGGTGGTGCTGCTGCTGCTGCTGCTGCTGCTGCTGGCGGGGGTGGTGGTCACGGCAGCAGCAGCACTGGCGGCGGCGGTGGTAGTAGCAGCGCCGGCGGTGGTGGCGGTGGCGGTGGTGGTGGTGCTGCTGGTGGCACAGCGGTAGCAGCGGTCAGTGCTCGCCCGAAGCCCAGGCACCGGCGAGGCGCATCGTTCCATTCCCTCTCTCCTCTCGACTCCTCTAGTGGTGACACGACCTTTAACTTGCTGCAGCAGCAACCTGCTATTGGAACAGCTCGTAACGCGGATCGTTTTGGCAGTGCTGCTGGTGCTAGTGGCAGCAATAGGACATCTGGTGGTTTTGGTGCTGCTGCTGCTGGTGGTGGGGGTGCTGGTGCTGCTGCCGCTGGTGCTGGTTCTGCTTGTCCCAAGCCAAGGCACAGGCGAGGGTCCTCTCTCCACTCCTTTCCCCCTGTTCCCGACACCACAAGCAGTGATGCTATTTTCGACTCCATCCAGCGGGCAGCTGAAAAAGAAGCAAGTCATTCCGGCGACCTTTACTCGCCAGTCAGCACCAGACCGGCCACTGCCGCAAATATTTCCGGGCAGTTTGATGGGTATTGGGGCAGCGAAGACACGGATACCGGGTCGTTTAATGAAAGAGAGGAATTACCCAAAGGAAGGCTGCATAGGCCGTATCAGGGTTCTGCCAATATTAGTGAGCTGCTGGGATCGAGGATTAGCAGAGCACAGGAGAGGTCTCAGCCTAGGTCGAAAGAGAGAACGGGGGAGAGAGATGTTAGGAGGAGGGAGAGGACAGGCGAGAGGCGAGGGGAGGGGAAGGGGGTAGTGGGTGAGGTGGTAAAAGGGGAGTCAGAGGACGCCGGGCAGCCACAGCAGCAACAGCAGCAGCATCAGCAGCAGCAGCAGGAACAGCAACAGAAGCAGCAGCAGCAGGAACAGCAGCAGCAGCAGGGGAAGCTGAAAAGTCCGAGGGGCAGTTTGGGAATCAAGGGAATTCTGCATGCCGCATCCTCCCGCCTCCGCTCCCTCCTCCCAGACTCCACCTCTCCCACCGGCAGCAGCAGCGGCACCACAGCAGCCGGTGCTGCCGCTGCTGCCCCTCCCAGTACCGCCCCCAGCAGCAGCAGCAGCAGCCGGGTTGGCATTCCGGGGGGAAACAGCAGCAGCAGTATCAGCAGCAGCGGCAATGTCGTGGAGGGAAGTAGCGGCAGCAGGAGGGCGGCCTCCCAAGAGGCGCCTGCTGCTCTCGCGTCTTTCTCCCTTAAGTCTTCAGACGCTGCTGCTGGGGAGAGTGACAGGGGGAGGAGGCCGACGAGTGAGGTAGCAGGGCGCGTGGGGGGGGTTCGGGGGAGGTTTGGGAGGCGGAAGCAGAGGCATGGGGGGGAGGAGGAGGAGGGGGAGGAGGAGGGGGGGGTGGATAGCCGAGGGGGGAGTCCGTTGGGGAGTGGAGAAAGGGAAGGTGGTGCTGGGGGAGGTGGTATTGGTGGCGGTGTGGGCGGCAAGTCTCGGCATCAAGTGCGCCGCCGCCAGCACAGCGCTGACGAGCTTCCGAGAGTGCCCGCGTCGCTGCTGGTTACCCCCCCTGTGTCGCCCCCGAATCAGTCGGAGTATGCAGCAGGATCGGTGGCAGCAGGAGGAGGAGAAGCAGCAGCAGAAGCAACAGCAGCTGCAGCAGCAGCAGTGTCAGCAGCAGCGCTGCACGAGCGGCTTGCTCACAGGGATAGGGCACGCAGGGAGGCTGCTGCAGGGGGTGGAGCACGGAGGGCGTTGGGTATTTCCGGGGTAATTGCCCCAAGAGGAGATACAGTGGGTTCTGGGGCGGGAGCGTCCACAGGACAGGGCAAGGGCGGTGCTTCCTCTGGGCGGGTGATTTTGTCTGATTATGATGTCGAATCGATGCCTCAAGGGAAGTTAGCTGAGTTGCTGAGTCACAGGCAGGATGGGGGAGGGAGGGGATCAGGAGGTGTAGGTGTGGTGGGAGCGAATAAGGGAAGGCGAGGGGAGGAAGATGCCGGGGAGTATGAAGGGAAAGGGAAAGGGCAGGTCAGAGAACGGGGCAAGGTCATGGAAGGAGAGATTGGGAGCAGCAGCGGTGGCGGCAGTTGCAGAGGTGATAGTGGTCGCAGTGATGGCAGGAAGATTGTTCCTGGCTGCACCAGCATCGACAGCAGCAGTTACAACATTACCAGCAGCGGCAGCGGCGCCGGTAGCAGCAGCAGCAGCAGCGGCAGCGGCAGGCCAACACAGTGGCAGCTGCAGCAGCAGCTGCTGCACTCCTCCCTGGCCCTGCAAACCCAGCTGATGACGCAGCATCAGAAGAAGAAGGGGCCTCTGGGGTCGGTTCTCATGCTGGAAAAGGTATCCACGCACTCGGAATTGGATAATAAGAAGAGGGCAGCGGGGGCAGGAAAGAAGCAGCAGGCTGATAGCATTCTGGCGCAGCTGGCAAGTCAAGGGAGTGGAGGAGGGGTGAGTGTGGTGTCTGGGCGAAGGGAAAGAGGCGGAGGAGGAGGGGAAGCAGGGAGGCTCAGTGCTGCTATTGGCACTGGTGCTGCCGCTGGTGCTTCTGCTGCTGGTGCTGCTGCTGCCGGTGCTACTGCCGCCGGTGCTGGCACTGCTACCAAGGGTGCGATCGGTGTTGGTACCAGCAGCAGCGGGTTACCAGTGATGAGGCAGTACGGCAGCATCCGCCCCTCAGACTACATACTAAAGAAGCCATACAAGGACCTGGCGGCGCGCTACGTGCTGCACAAGGAGGAGCTGGGCAGCGGCGAGTATGGGGTCATAAGGAAGTGTTTGGAAATCTCGTCCGGGCATGTGCTCGCCTGCAAGACCATCAAGAAGGCCCGCATTAAGGTGAGTGGGTGGTGGAACAGACGGTCAGGATTAAGGTATCTGCTGGAAGAAACGGTCAGGATCAAGGTGGGTGGTAGAAGAAACCCTGAGTACACGGGGCAGGCAGGCCAAGTGGTGAGTCCTAAAGAAGCCATACAAGGACCTGGCGGCGCGCTACGTGCTGCACAAGGAGGAGCTGGGCAGCGGCGAGTATGGGGTCATAAGGAAGTGTTTGGAAATCTCGTCCGGGCATGTGCTCGCCTGCAAGACCATCAAGAAGGCCCGCATTAAGGTGAGTGGGTGGTGGAACAGACGGTCAGGATTAAGGTATCTGCTGGAAGAAACGGTCAGGATCAAGGTGGGTGGTAGAAGAAACCCTGAGTACACGGGGCAGGCAGGCCAAGTGGTGAGTCCTAAAGAAGCCATACAAGGACCTGGCGGCGCGCTACGTGCTGCACAAGGAGGAGCTGGGCAGCGGCGAGTATGGGGTCATTCGCAAGTGCCTGGAGATTTCGTCCGGGCATGTGCTCACCTGCAAGACCATCAAGAAGGCCCGCATTAAGGTGAGTGGGTGGTGGAAGGGACGGTCAGGATTGATTATGGTGGTGAATGGACGGCTAGGATCAAGGTATTTCAGTGCCTGGAGATCTCCTCGGGGCATGTGCTCGCCTGCAGACCATCAAGAAGGCCCGCATTAAGGTGAGTGGCCGAACAGACGATGAGGATTGAGGTATTTATATGGAAGAGCAACGAACGTTAAAAATAACGAAAGAATGAATGAAAGTAAACAGAGAAAGAATTAATGAATGAAAGAAATAAATAAATAAATAAATAATGTACGGAAGGTAATTTTAACAAACAGCTGTATGCTGATTGGTTCCACGTTCTACATTTACTTTTAACAGAAGTTTCTTCTTCCCAGTATGCTTGTATCTCTCCCACGCACACCGCCTTCCCTGCTGAACCACCAATTCGGCTCCTCGCCCTTCTCCGTCCCACTCTTCTCCTGGCTTCCCCTTGCTGTCTACACCCACTTCTCAACACCAACTGGTTTGTGCACCTCCAAACCCCATTCTGGATCACACGCCTTCCTTCCCGCCCCCCTCCTCCCATCACAGCTCAAACCCCCCCACACCACTCCGCCTCCCCCCCCCAACATCCTGCATCACATCGCATACCCTCCCCTCTCCCTTCCTCCTCGCTCCATGCTCAACCTCCTATCCTGCATCACACTCCATCCCTCCCCTATCCCTCACTCTTCAACTTCCCTCTCCCTCACACCCAAAAGGCAACATCAAAGTAGAGTCACCAGCAGGCACAACCGTCTTCCCCTTCTTCCTCTGCCACCTCAACGCACCGTCCTGCACCGCACTCCACCCATCCCCGCTCCCGCGCACACCCCACTGCTCAACCCCCCACATCAGCCCCAAGAGGCAGCAGACGGCATCAGAATGCAGGTCGCTAACATGCACAACCCGACTTTCCCCTTCCCCCCACCACAATGCACCACACTGCACCACACTGCACCACACTGCACCGCACTCCATCCATCCCCACTCCCCCCCACCCCCCCGTTGCTCCCCCACGTCAGATCCAAAAGGCAGCTGACGACATCAGAATGGAGGTTGCGAGCATGCACACTCACCCTACCCTCCCCTCGTACCTCAATGCACCATTTTGCACCAAACTCCATCCCATTCCCCCATCCTCCCTCCTCCACATCAGTCCCAAGAAGCAGCAGACGACATCAGCATGGAGGTTGCGAGCATGCACACCACCCCCTTCCTCCCCTGCCACCTCAACGCACCGTCCTGCACCGCACTCCATCCATCCCCGTCCCCCCCCCCACCCCCTACATCAGAGCCCAGAAGCAGCGGACGACATCAGAATGGAGGTCGCCAGCATGCTTGTGCTGAAGGGGCATCCGTATATAGTCACACTGCACGATGCAATTGAAGATGCAAAGGTATGCCGCTGTGCTGTGCTGTGATATGCAAAGTTGCAGCTTTTATGGTCGCCAACATGCTTGTACTGAAGGGGCATCCCTGTATAGTCACACTGCACGATGCAATGGAAGATGCAAAGGTACGTATGCTGCTGTGCTGTGAGACGACGCAAAGGTCCAGCTTTTATGGTGGCAGTTTCACTATTCCGTTTTTCGCAAGTGCATGTTTAGCCATCACATGTTTCACTTCTGCATGTTTCATAAATCCATTCTACTCAGTCCCATGTGTCGTTGTTTCCAGTGTGCATGCTACTTGCATCTCTTAGCCTGTGTTCTGACCCACTCACACGTACCCTCGTCTCAACCCCCCTTCTCAAAGCCCTACTTAACCCCCCCTCCCTCTCACTGATTAATCACGTGCACCTGATGAAGCTGGGGCGGCGATTTATTCGACCGTATCACCAAGGGTGGCGTTTACTCACAGCTTCGAATCCCTTTTCTTGCCCCCCCTAAACTCCCCTCCCCTCCTCCCCCTCACAATCCAGTACGTGCATTTAGTGATGGAGTTCTGTCGGGGCGGTGACCTCTTCGATCGCATCACCAAGGGCGGAGTGTACTCGGAGCCTCTGGGCGCCCACCTGTGCCGCGCCATCACGGAGGCGCTGTTGCACTGCCACCGGCACGGGGTAATTCATCGAGACATCAAGCCAGAGAACATTCTACTACTGGAGCCTGGGAGTGACACGCGCATCAAGCTCGTTGACTTTGGTGTCGCGACCTTCTTCCAGGAAGGTACGGCCGGCACACGCACGCTCCTGCACTGCACCACACTGCACCGCACGACACCTTCGGGGTGTGGGGCCGGTGGTTGTCTTCCCCTCGTACTCATCCGTCACATCTCCCACACTCCCCACATCACCCACCAGGCGTTTTGCTCCACGACACCATCGGCACACCCGAGTACATGGCACCGGACGGATGCCCTTCCTTTCCCAACCTAGAAGGTGCAGAGCGCAGGTCCGGTTAAGCTCACCCTCTACCTCTCCTCCCCATATCTCCCACACTCCCTACAACCGCTCTCCCCGCCCTTCAGCCCGTCTCCCCATATCTCCGGCTCTCCCGACACACCAGGCGGTTTGCTCCACGACACCCTCGGAACGCCTGAGTGCATGGCGCCAGAGGTGTGGGCCGGGAGGGAGCTTTTCTTCCCGTGCTCATCACACCCACCCATGTCTTTCCATATCTCCCTCACACTTTTCAACACACCAGGCGTTCTTCTGCGCGACACCATCGGCACGCCTGAGTACATGGCACCGGAGGTGTGGGACGGGAGCTACGGGCCCGCAGTGGATGTGTGGAGCACGGGAGTCGTCATGTACATTGCCATGTCGGGAGTGCCGCCCTTCTGGGCGGCATCCAAGCAGTCTGTGCAAGAGGCAGTCGCCACCCGCGAGGCGAGCTTCCGGTCGGCGAAGTGGGCGCATGTTTCTGACGAGTGCAAGCATCTGATTGGCCGGATGCTGGCGAAGAAGCCTCAAGAACGAATCACGTGCCTTCAGATTCTTGGTAAGCGCGAATTGCTGGCGGAAAGTGCCAGTTGCTGGTGAATGAGATATGTAAATCGGTACATATGGTGTTCTTTGTTACGTGTGGTTTTCTTGATCTCTCTTATCTTAACATTCTCTGTTGCTTGTTTCTTTTTCAGGGCATCCATGGATACGCCAGCATGCGTCCCGCTAAGTACCGGTATCTATCTAACAGTTACTAGCTTGCTAACAAAGGTAGTACCCAGCAAAGTTGTAGCAATTTATGATTAACCCCTTAACTATCCAAAATGTAGATTGTTCATTTGTAAGATTTTTGTGAAACATTCAGCTTCTCAAGTGTTCTTCTTCAGAATACTGAATGTCCAACTCATGGTTTATGAGCTTTTCTACATTAAGATGCACTTACACTGCCTAATACAGCTTTGTTACACTTTCCTTTAAGGATACAGTGGCGGGAGATTCTTGTGCTGACTTTGCCGCGTCCAATCGTACTCCGTGGCGCACTGAACAAAAATGTATTGGATTGGCCAGGGAATGTCTGAGCAATGCCTCTCCACCGCTCTGCGTCCTTTTGCAACCTTGCCGGGATGGATGGTAAGGTAAGCATGGTCAATTATTTGTTGATGGGAATGGCATGGGTACTTCCAGTGTTCTCCTTGGGTTCCAGTTCTCTCCCATCATTTTGCTTATTCCCACAACCTGCAGTCAGTGACATCCAGCACGTGCGACGCCGTTCACTGCTCTTATTCATTAGTGTCTAAAAACGGTGATTTGTCACAGTCAACGGATGGATGCGTCGTTCTTTGGTTGGTGCATCCCCATGTGTTGATCGCGGATTCGCTCAGTCGCGGAGGACTAGTAACACGGTGTTATCGACACGTCCAGCACGAATCTCTTTGGGATATGTCGACCCCGTGGAGACCTCCATACACTCCTATCACCACGTCATCATTGTTCCACTCGCCTCCTGATCTGATTGTCGATAAGCTCTACTTGGGAAATTTGAATTCAGCTTCCGACAAGTAAGCTGGAACGAGGAACTGATTCGTGTTTTGGCCGGTTCTTCCTATTTATTTGAAGTCCTCCCCCCTTTTCGTGCTGGCTGACGTCATCCTTGCAGAGAATTATTGGATGGGCTTGGCATCAAGAGCATTCTGACAATTGCGTCCAACGTAGGCCCTCCTAAGTTCCCTGGCGCATTCAAGTACACCGAGGTTTCGATCATAGACTCGTCTCATGTTAACATAGTTGCACACTTCGAGCTGTGCTTCAAAGCCATTGACGAAGGGATCAAATCAGGCGGCATCCTTGTTCATTGTGTAGCAGGTATGGTACCCATTGTTCTTCAGATGATTTCCTGGCCTGGTTGTTCTGTCCTGGGCTTGTTTATTTTAGCATCTTTTCCCCTCCACTTACCTTCTTCCACTGTCTGCTAATTCATTCATCTTCATGACAACTATTGTTTCACAGGCATGTCCAGAAGTGCAACAGTGGTCATAGCGTACTTGATGGCAAGGAAAGGGCTCAGTTTTCAAGAAGCCTTTGCACACGTCAAGAGGTGCCGACCTATTGCACAACCTAATTATGGCTTCATGAGGCAACTTGAAAAGTTTGAAACATATCTTCGTTCAGAGAGGGACAGGGCTGTATCCATCAAGGCTTGACACCAAAATTTTCGCTTGATACCCTCTCACTAGTCCAAGGCCCACCTCTCCCATCCTGCCATACATGCACTAACCCGCCTATACTAATCTCAGAAGACATGCACATGTGGGTACAATTTCCGTGCAGCCAGCTGGTATATACTGCATTCCTGGGCTGTCAAAACAGTGGTATGATGAAGGCACAGTTTTGGCAAGGGCTGCTTGATTGCCCTTGTTGTATGGGAGGTTTGATCACTGGCTCCAGATGGGCTTCACATTTTTGCAGAGTACGGTATGTTTCAAAAAATAAATTTACTGCAGGTGACCTAGGCTTTCTGCTGAGAGCGAGCATTTACAAGGTAGATTGCAACCAGTGTGACTCCAGCGCCAAAAAACTGCAGAGGGGATAGTGTTTCGCCAAGGAATATAAACCTGCAAGAAGAGTGATAGGCAACATCAAGCGATTCGGCCCATGAGATCAACACAGGAACTAAAACGAGACCAGGCACTGAGCATGAAGTGAAACTAGCTGGGAGGAGAAAGTTGGGAGACCAGCTGCAGTAATATACCAACTGTGATGGCACATACATACCCGAAGAAAGCAGCAAATGCAGGAGTGAGGAAAGTCAAAGAGCTCAGCCTTGTAAGGTTCCCTGCAGATGGAACAAATACAGATGCAACCGAAAGGGAAGTGAAAATCACAACGACAGCCAACTAGACTGGAAACTGTAGAATGGGAGAATAAACATCAACCCTGATGCGGCGGTATAAGGCTGAAACATAATAAGCTGAGTTCAAATGAGTCACACTCTCACCTTTGTTTGCATTGTAAAAGAACACTCCATAGCTGATTGCACTTCCGAAGACTGAAGTGTACATTAAGGAGGACCAATCGATCAGGGAAAGGTCAGCAAGGCCACCAGAGACTGCTGGATCGTGCTGCTGGAAGGAAAGATAGAGGAGAGGAATGCCTCCCAGCACCATGTGCTGTTGTCAGGGCATGGGGAATGGGGTGACACAGGGCCAAAAGAGAACACAATGGGGTGACACAAGGATTGAAGAAACCAGGAATGAATTGAAGGGACAGAAGGCACGAGCTCAGAATCATAGCACCTGACATCTAGAAAACAACCCCGAACACCAAGTGCAATAACCACACTGCGTGTCCGGTCATGTTTGTGGCTGTGCCTGTCCATTCTCTCCCCTTCAGTAACTACTAGCTCAAGCACACCACACCATTCTTGAACCTATGATTACCCATAATGGGGTCGGACGGACTGCAGACCCACCACACACATGAATCTCACCGTAGTTCCACCCATACCCCCACGAATTTCCAACACCTCACAAAATGATCCCATAACCCCCAATAGGACCCATTCGTACACATCCAATGGCCATCATGGGGTCGCAGTGCCTGCAGACCCACCGCATGGTTCTAGCCACTCAATGCATGTGCCCACAGCCCACCCCATACGCTTCAGAATGCACCAATAAAGTCTTCTGAGCCATCTACACGGAAAACCTAACCATTCGTACCCATCCAGTGGCCATGATGGGATCGCAGTGCCTGCAGACCCACCGCACCATGACTGTGCCGACGGCTGGTCAGAGGGAGAGGCATAAAGCAGGCGTGAGTTGAGTGGCCAGAGTGAGAGGAGTAGGTGGAGTGTGATGAATGGGAGGTGTGGGAGGGGTGAGAAGCGAGACCCACCGCACCATGACTGTGCCGATGGCGGTGTGACAGGAATGAGAGGAGAGGAGTGGACGGAGTGAGATGTGTGAGAAGAGTGGGAGGAACGGGAAGAGAGAGAGGACAGAGGGGAGAGAAAGGACACAAGGGAGAGAGGAGTGAAGGGGTTGAGGAGTGAGTGCAATGAGAAAAATTGACAGTAATTTGAGGAACCACTAGATTGAAAGGGGAATGGTGAGAAGCAGGTGCATAAAAAACAGGACAAAACGGGGGCATCGGAAATGGGAAGAAGCATCAAATTTTGAGAAACGTGAAGCAAAGAAGACTAGTATTGAAGAAATAATTGGGAAGGAACGTTATGTAGAACAAACAGGCATTCCTCGCATTGTACCAACAACATTTCTTGTCAGCCTAAAAAATTATGGTCCAGGCATTTTGCTCGTTCAAGCATTCAATTCCTCCTTACCCATGCTTTGAGCAGCAAGCAACATCCACCACTCCCCACTTTCCCACAGCTGCCAATCTCCCACACCCAGTGCTGCTGCTGCTGGTGATGTCAGTGCAAGGGCCGCTGGTGCTACTGCTGTAGCCTCAGCTGCTGCTGCTGCTGCTGCTGCTGCTAAAGTGACAGTGGAATCAGTGAGCGAAGGGGTGATGTCTAAAAGAGAGAGTGGGCTGTCTAGAGGCAAGGTGGCAAGCATTGATTGGGTTGAAGACGCAGAGAGAGAGGAAGCGAAGGAGAGAAGCGCATCCAGAGGGACCTGTGGAAGGGTGGTGAGGGGTAGTGAGGGGTAGTGCAGGGTAGTGCGGGGAGAAACATAGTGGTGTTGATGAGTAGGGAACGATAAAAATTAGCATATTTTGCGCTGGATAAAGTGAAAAATTCAATCAAACAAAACAGAACTATAGAAATATACTCTTCAAAAAAGCTTCGACCCCATCAAGTTCTCAAGAAAAAAGAGGTGAATTGGGAGGGCATGGTAGGAAAAGAGAAAGGAAAGGAGAGGAGAGCGAAACACCACCCACCGGACCTCACTGTCCTCTCCCTTCTATTCTCACTGGACTCCTCACCTCACGCAGCAGCAAGGCTACAACGACTAGCACGGTCCTCACTGACTAGCACAAGGCCCAAAGGCTGTGTGAAAGAGAAATTCAGCTGAGTTTTGTTCTGCATATATATGCACACCTCTATATGTGTGTGTGTAAATTCTCACCTCAAGCAGTAGCAAGCCTACAACCCCCAGCACAAGCCCCAACGATCCTTTCTTGGAAATGGTCTCGCCGAACAGAAGGGCTGCAAGCACAGCCACTGTGAGTGGCTGAGAGTCAATGATGACCTGGCATACATGAGGGGGAGGGAGGGGACAATGAGAAGGGAGCGAGGCGATTAGATAAGGTGGGACATTTGAATCGACTCAAAAGCCTGTCCAAACAGAAAGGCCGCGAGAACAGCCACTGTGAGCGGTTGAGAGTCAACTATGACCTGCGAGAGGGGGGATATAGCGCATTAAGGAAGGGTTTGGGAGTGGACTAGATGAGGTGTGACTTCTGGGTCGACTCAAAAGGTTTGCCGAACAGAAGGGCCGAGAACACAGCCACTATGAGTCGCTGAGAGTCAATGATGACCTGCGAGAGGGGGGATAAGGCATGGAACGAAGCGGAGGCGATCAAATCATTAGCAAGCACAATCTGAGAGGCTGAAAGTCCATGACGACCTCGCAGACAGGGATGAGGCATGGAGGCACGGAGTGTATGTTTTTTTAGAATTCTTAAAAAACATACACTGAAAGTCCATGACGACCTCGCAGACAGGGATGAGGCGTGGAGGCACGGACTGAGAGAGAAGTGATTAGACGATTCGCAGGAACACTCTAAGTAAGAGTGATCCGAGAGGCTGAAAGTCAATGGTGTGCGCTTAGCAAAGACAGCACATCTATACAACACATACGCAAACCAACAAGCACAGAGGGCCATGACAAAGAGCAGGGACAAAGGAAGCTGAAACTGTAGAGGCAAGGACGCGACGTCACAAAAATGCGAAAGATTGTGGTGAGCTTCATTGGGGGAGATCGAGATGAATGGGAAGTGGAAAGGCCAGGGAAGGGGAAGGGAAAGGGACAACCCTTAGAGATTGGAATGCAAGGGCGAAGGGAGGGAGAAGAAAATTGCTCACTGATCCAAGGCCGGCTGATGTCCGCCTCAAGCCCTCTGTGAGACAGCCCTGTGCAGTGCACAGCGAGGAAGTGGGGAGGAGAAGGGAGGGTTGAGAGAGGAGAACGGAACATTGCTTGCTGATCCAAGCCCGGCTGATGTTCGCCGCGAGCCCTCTGCGGCTAGCATCAAAGGCACTTGAAGGGAAGCTTTCGAGAATTCTCAAAAGAAACACCTCAGAGAACAATGCAAAGTTAAAGCCTCTTCTTGTTCGTCATACCTGGAAGGCTGTGGCATCTACGAGGGCGAAGAGTAGGATGGAGAACCATGCAAGGGCGGACTTGTGCATGGGGCGGCCTCGGCTGGCAGCGAAGGCAACGAGGAGCAGACCGGCCGGGATGAGGCGGACAGAGGCGACGAACATGGGACCTGCCTTTGGCAACACGTCCTGATGGGGGCGAGGGGAGGGGGTGAGGAGAGAGACAAGGGTGAAGGGAGAGATGGAAAGGGATAGGCAACGAGGAGCAGACTGGCCAGGATGAGGTGGACGGGCCTACATTTGGAAACACGTCCTGATAATATTCAACGAACAATGCAAGCGATCCCAATCATCCACAATGAATGATATGATGATGGACAATTATCATCAATGGTCAGCAATGATGGCAGAAGAAGATTGGCCTACACAAGAAACAGCAGCTGATTGCTTTGTTTCCATTACCTTCATTGCCACCATTGACGATCCCCAGAAGAAGAATGGTGAAATTAGCAACATTGTCTCCAGAATCCCGTCAAAATTCAGTGAAGAGAGAAATGAGCCAGTATTTGCGTCCGCTGCTGCTGCAACTGCTACCGACTCCTCCTGCTGCTCTTGCTGAGTCGTCTTTCTCCGTTGCTCCTCCTCCTCCTCGTCGACCTCCTGCTGTTGATCCACCAATGGCTTGCCTGCAGGTTCCCATTTGTCCCTGTCTTCTGCGAGATTAGGAAGAAAACACTCCACGTTGATTCCTGTTAGCACGCAATCCAAGTCTGAAATGTCCAATTCCCGAGCCAATGACTCATTGGTTGACGCTTCAGAGTTGAGCTTGCTCGCTCCGTTTGAAGCAGCTCCATTAGAGACAGCTTCGTTAGAAACAGCTCCGTTTGAAGGCTCGTCTCGGCCAGGTTTGGAGTCGTTCGCAGAGGTTTCTGCTCCTGAAGGCGATTTCGACGCTAAGGCAATTGGTGGATTCGGTGATCCGACACGTCGTACGGCTCTCTGGTTGTCACGTGGAACGCGTTGAAACGACGATTTTGTAGACTTGACGCGGAGCGAGCACTGGCGTGACGCGGCTTGAAACCTGGAGCACGACCGTCGTGCAGGGGTATTCGAACCAGCGCTCAAACTTGGAACCGAGTGTCTAGCAGGTAAAGGGGTCACTGACGCCATGCATTGGGGTTGGCTAACATGACACCTGAAGGTGCTCGTCATTTGAGTAGGTGACGTAGCACCACGCATTCCTGAAAGAAGAACCAGCAACTGTCAGGATGAAGCGATTGCAAGGACAAGAAAAGGACTGCTGGGTTGTGCTTCTATGACAATGGGAGATCCTTCTTCCTAGACAGCGCTCTTGCGAAGCTCAGCACTTTACAGCAGCAAGGAAAATGGCTTGATTCGTTACTGACGCTTATTACAGAGTAAATATCTTAGCTTGCTGCATTGTGCTGTATGCCTGACTCGTGCACTGAATGCAGAAAAAATGGAGTTGACGAGGAGCTTCCAGATCGGATCGTCGCGGTTGATGCGCGCGGGACGCTGCGCTGTGACAGGCGGACGAGAAGCTTCCTCCCATGGAATGCGTTGGCTCAATCTGATTGGTTGATAAAAGAAATTCAGGATACAGCCACCAGTTTTATAGCGAACTTGTCTACTATGGCCTGTATAAAAGCATGCTCACACCACTAACAGCCCTCCCGACAGAAGTGTGGAAATATAATCAAGTACGCTAGATGTGGTCTTTCAAACACCAGCTGTGTTTCCAGCAGCAGCTCGAGCAGCTTCTTGCTTCATTTTGACGATAGCACCGGTACCACGGAAGTAGGCATAAGATCTCTGCCAGGGAAAAAACAAGAAAACAAGGAATTAACATGATATATGATCTTTGTGATATGAGAGCAACTGCAAGGAGACTTCCAATGTATAGGTTGTGAGAACCACTCCTGAAGTAGTCGGACGTTACGTCAGGACTTACTATGATGAGGATGAAGCTGAAAAAGGCCTCCGCCACGAAGAGAACAGCACCAACGGAATAAAATATCTGCAGCAAAGCACGTACAAGTCGCACACAAGGCCTTGTAGTGTAAGTAGCGCACTACCTGAAAAAAATAAGGTGGAATTATTGTATTACATACCCCAATGACGGTCCATCCATGTGTGAAGACATTGATGGTTGAGATGACACCTCTGTAATGCACGCACCAAAGTAGATTACGAGACAGGGTCAAAAATTGAGGGAAGCGAACAAGGAGGCGCACCCAAAATAAAATTACTAAAGTTTAACTGACTGTGCTGTATAACCAATATGTTTTGACTTACGCAAATGAGCTTCCTTGAAAAGCAGTGCCAATTGTAAATGGAGGAGATACAGCAGCGAATATGAAGAAGATGATGTGGGTCTGCATAAACAAATAACAAATAACACACACACACACACACACACACACACACACACACGCACGCACGCACGCACGCACACACGCGCACACACAGACACACACACACATACACACACACACACAAACAAGAAATAGCAGAAACACAGAGAGGAAAGCTTAAACAGCATCCAGCTTTCCAGACAATAACAACTCAAGCTATGCTCACAAAGCAGGTTCGACATGTGGACTGGATGCCATACCATGAATCCACAGAAGAAGAAAGCCATGCCAACACCACTGTCCTTGCGCATGGCATAGTACAACCGTGAGTACCAAAAGAAATAGGAGCCCGGGACCCCAACAATGAAGTAAAGCAACGCCATGAAGAAGTTTCCAAATCCTGCAATAAGATAAACAAGAATCCAACCAAGCCAGAAGATTGCCTCCGGTTCACTTTCAGAGAATCTCAATTTAGAAGGTGTTGGATAAACCGTGCCATTTTCAAACTGGTATTGCAGCTTCCTCAATGAGTGTATGTGCGCTTTGATCACATACCAGAAGAGTTCTCATAAGCGCCACCAATCCATGCTGCTGTAATGGGGATGAGATTGTAGAAAAGCGACCCCATTGCTCCTGCAGGAGCGAAATATATCACAGTTGGAAGACAGTAAGTTAATCTGAAAAGCCAATTTGGTGTGATTTGCATGCTGTACGGGAATTCCTGTGGAACAAAGATTGGTTACCGGTGTTTGATTCAACTGACGATATGCAGGTGCATTGCATCACCATTCTTAATGACCAGCCCGCCTGCTCATAAGGCCCAACAGCCTCATTCTGACCAGCAATCCAGCATAAACAAACTCATCCATCACAAAGCAACTTACCCATCCAGACCCAAAAGCCAAGGTACATTAAGCCTTGTAGATAGTCCGGCACATCCTCCTTGATGTTGTTACGGATTAAGGGGAAGAATGGTGGAAAATTCTTGGTCATGATCCCAAGCGCTGCAGAAAGGAGGCACATTTATTTTGAAATGACATGAGCCAAACTTGTGTGAGATACGAGGACGAGCAAGAAAGAAGCACATGGGGGAGTTGAACCTCATGACACTCAAGTCCCTGATAAAAATAGATTCACTCACATGCTTCCCTCTTCGATAGCTCCTGTGTCGATACAGCAAGAGACCCGATTTCCAAATGCAGTCACAGGTCAGAGTGGCATGAAGACAGCAGAGGTGGACAGAATGGGGAGATAGAAGCGCAAGGATGGGAGAGGGAAGAACAAATGAGACGCTTCAAAAGTGGTAGAAGGCGAAGCGGAATAAGATATGACGGCAAGGCTGAGATAGTGCTTGCTACGTAGCTTACAGAACACCATTTAACGACCTCACCTCCTCCTTTTTCCTCAGCATAGCTTCTCGATTTTGCAACTCTTTCTGTTTCTTCTTCAGTGCCTGAAACGCAAACATGGTGAATGAGAAAGCTTGAAGGAGGCAGAGGCGTGGATTGGACCAAGCAACCAATTTAAACACGAACTATGCCGAACATATCAAAAGATCGAAACCATTCACAGTCGAGAAAAGGAGCTACAGAACATCGTTCGATGAAGGGATACGAGGCAGGGGAACAAACAGCCAGGTTCAGGGGAATAAGCGGGGAAGGCGGGTGTGATGCAGCATTGCGACCAAACATACCCGCGGGCTGAACTGAACATCAGAGGTCACGTCGAAAGTGGATCCGCTGCGGCTTTCTGGAGGCAGAGGTGAGGGCCTGTCGCTCATGCTGGTCATGGGGATGCCAGACCGTTGGCTCTGCACAAACACGCGGATTCGATTTAAGCTTGGTGTTGCTGTAATTCTTAATGGATTGTTTACTGTTCGCGCACGCTTTGCTCAGACTTGCGTTGAAGGGTTGTGATATTTGCTGCCTCAGATGCTACTATCGATTGCTTTCGCATTGCATCGCTGGACAGGACTAGACTTTGAAGGCGTACAGGTTTGGAAGTCATATGTATGACTGAATACTCACATCGAAGAACGAACCGCCGACTTGCCGACCCGATTGCTGCAGGGAAACGATAGCATGTCGAGGATGTGACGTTGGAATCCACAGAGCAGGATTATCAGAAAGTATACTCAAATATTATACTAGTATGGCAACGAAAAGTGATGCGACAGAAAAACGAGTAAAACTTTTCAACTTACAGAATAGGGATTATTGTCCGTTTCCTCATCGAACGGATTCTGATCGAATCTACTCATGGTGACTTGGCAAATCCGTCCCCACTAATCGATTTAGGGCAATCTTGTTCCTGATCTCCAACCTAAGCCGCGGTAACCGAATACTGGAGAGGTAGCTCCAGAAGCACGCTGAACTCCTTGAGGAAATAGGGAAACCAGACACCAGCAGCAAAGACAGCCTAGTAAGCTTGAACTATCTCCAGGCGGGCCCTGTCAAATGACACTCTTGTTCTCACTGGATGGAGGGTACCCTTTTGCTGAGTTTCCACCCTGACACCCACTGGCGGGCGGGGGACCTGCAATACTGACAGGGAAGCGTTTGCGCATTGTGATTGGCTAGCGACGCCTAGGAAATGACTTAGCTGGTGCGGGTCTAGTGATTCGAATTGCGAAGCAGAAGCTCGAAACTGTTCTTCCAGAGTAACACTTCCCAAGTTCTCTGAATTCCTACATAATGAGAGTGAAAACGTGTTTGATTATTTGCAACCTCAAGGCTCAATCAGCTGAGCTTCAATAAATTCCCGTTAAGATATGCAATATGGAAAAATATATGTATGTTTTAAATTTGCGCAAATCACGAATAATAATTATAGTACATGAAGGTATGTACCTTCAACATCTGGTTGAAGCTAGCTTGGCAGGATTATCAATGTGGCATCTGAGCCCCATCTCTCACATACGATACAAGAGGCTACTAAGCTCCTCGCAGCACGACATGCTAAAATCCCTGATGTTGCTGCGTGAGATCAGAGAGCCTGAACAGCAGTACGTTCAAAATCCTCCGGCCCCAGTCCAAAATAGCGTCCAGCTCGGCCTGAGTTAGCGGCCTGTCAGAAAATTCCGTTGGCAAAATATTTTCAGCACCAATCCCAGACTTGGCACTTTCAGGAATTGCTGCAACGACAGGAGCACCCTCTACAATCGTCACAGCCTCAGCAAGAGTCGCTTCGATTTCTTCCACTAGTGTCCCGTCATTGGCTCTGAAGACATGCACGGGCAGCGTGGCTCTTTCAGCTGCCGTCGGTTCTACGGCGTAAATCTCCTCAACTTGTCTCGTGCCGTCCGCGCTTGCTGCGCGCCGAATGAAGCCAATTTTTGTCCGTGCAAAGGTTGGTTGCCACAAAAATGCCGAGAGAGCGAGGAGCACGAGAAGTTGACGAGAACCTATTTGCGAGTAATACATGATGGGCAACAGACTAAGATGCAAAGGTGCAACTCCTTCGGCGCGAAAATTCCGAGGTTGTGTTTCGGTCTGGCTGCTTGATCCTATGTAGTATGACCTTGCGAGCGAGGAAACCCAGAAAGAACGGAAGTAGTCAACAATGCAGTGCTACTGAAGAGCTTGCTGGTGAGGATGGTGAGGAGAGGAGAGGAGAGGAGAGTTGTGCGGCTTGGGATGAGTGGGTGACTCTAGGCGACATGCTACTACTGGTGCCAGGAAAACCGCTCACTTCGCCTGTAAGCACATGGTGCAAGGGAAATGTGCGAAGCGGAGTTGGCCTCGTCTCACGAATCGCAGGGTCGCTCGCTGGAAGTGAGGGACCAGGCGAGCGATGAAGACGACACACTCTGCGACAGGAAGACCTGCCTCTGAATCGTACGCGGAGTTGAACGATCCAGCTAGGAGCGAGGTAACGACCATGCGAAATCGCAGGCGATTCAAACAGTCGTATCAAACACAAGTACCTCCAAAATTTGCTCAAGAAGAACACCAAATTGCCAGGTGAAAACATAACTGATTCCCAGATGCTATTACTTGATTGCACATATATTACTCATTCTTACATCGGATGAAAATATTGATTACATGCAGAATTATCCTTTCAAGCAAAATGTATCCTTCCCAACTGAATATCCCACAGCATTTCCTCGATACAAGCTTAATTTGACGTGGACACGTCTCATTGCAACAAGTCAGCCTCCAACCACATTCTTTTGAGCATTTCCTGAACGGCCACATCAGCGGCCCCGGTTTCCCCCTCCTCCCCAGTTGCCCCGATCCGCGTGCTCGCTTCCTGCGTTTTTGTTGGCCAGCATACTACCCTGCCCCTTTATCTCTGGCACACCCTGCCCCCTGAGTCCCTGACACCTGAATATTGGCGCAATAGCTGGCGGGCATGTACCAACGAGTCGTGCGTGAATCCGCCAAGCTCCAGTGCCACCGCTTTCGCGTCGAGGAATCGAGTCGTGCGTGAATCGTGACGGTAGCAGCGGACTCGAGGCATGTTACAAACGTTGTCGAAATAGATTTTGCTCCTCTACTATTTGCGCTGGTCTGACTATCTGTGGTGAGAGTTAATCGCGCTGTTCGAGCCAACCTTCTGCACGAGAGTTTGAATCGGCGCTGTCCACTCCATTAAAACAGAGCTGCATATTGGAATAGGATTGTAACATCCCCCATGTCTGCCCTAGTTGGAGGCAGTGCCGTGACGAGACATCTAGCTAGTACACAATGCGTCACCGCGACTTTGGCGAGACACTATAACGCCGGCGCCCCGCTACACGCGTCTCTGCTGCCGACGCATTCCAGACCAAACTCAACCCACCAAGGATATGGCTCCAATTCAGTCCTTCGCCTCAAAACTACTTCAAATAAAGCTGCCATTGCTCAGCTTAGACCCCTGAAGCAGCATCTGCATGGAATTCGCTATCGAAATGGTGTCGCTCGAGCCGCGATCGATAGCGATGCCACTCCCGAGCAGACCACCACCGATCCCCCCCAACCCTCCCCTGCGACGGCTGCTCCCGAGCCTGCCTCGGCGGCTTCGCCCGAGCCTCCTGTCCCTGGGGAGAAGGTGTACCGAGGCTTGGCGTTAGCTTCGGTATCAGCCGCCGTGGGTCTGTTCGTGCTGACGAGGGTCGCAGGCGCAGGCACGGACCTCTCCGCATTAGCCGCAAGATCGGCTAATTTTGATGAGGTACTTAAAACTGGGAAGTTTTAGGAGGTACTCAGGCGGTGGCTGTTGTGACTGGATGAGGTGAAATAGCGATGGTGTAAGTGACAATGCGGTGAGATAGACGGAGAAGAACGGATGGGGGCTTGGGGGTACTTGAGGAACGGGGAACAGACGACATGGGGGAGGAACTGGGAACGAAATATACGCGGAAAGACTGGGGCGGGGGCGGGGGCGGGGGCGGGGACGGGGACGGGGACGGGGACGGGGACGGGGACGATGAGTTGGAGGGGAGGGGGTGGAGGGGGGTCAGGGATTCATCTCTTGGATGTCGAAACCCGAATCTTCAAAGGCACGAATCCTACCTTTCCCGACTCTTACCTTTCCCTCATCACCTCACCCCAGGCAATGGGCAACGGGCGGCCAACCGTGGTTGAATTCTACGCTGATTGGTGTCAGGTACGTCTTCATCACTCCTGTGTCGTTCTAATTGAATCTCATTGTGTAATGCTGAATGAGATCGTGCCCTTGCGTTCCATCGCCCTAAGCTACATGCTATCATCCATGCTGAATTTCATTTTGGCCTCCCATCTCCCTATGCTGAATTTCATTTTGGCCTCCCATCTTCCTATGCTGAATTTCATTTTGGCCTCCCATCTTCCTATGCCGATTTTAATCATCCATGCTGAATCCATCATGGCGTTGACTCTTCACCCTGACTGATTCCCACATTCATCCCCCTATTTCCCTCCGTTCGAACCCTCTCTTACCTTCACCCTTTCCCCCGACCCCCCATTCCCCTTTCCCCTCGTTTTTCCTCCTCCTCCTCCTCCTCCTCCTCCTCCTCCTCCTCCTCCTCCTCCTCCTCCTCCTCCTCCTCCTCCTCCCCCTCCTCCTCCCCCTCCCCTCACCTTTCTCAATGTCTGAGCCAGGTCTGTCGCAAGACTGCCAGAGACACACTCAAGGTGGAGCAGCAGTTCAGGTGAGTTGAGTCGACTCAAAAGTCACTTATTCTTTTTCTGAGCTACAGCCGCCGCCACTTCAGGCTCGTGCCACCTCATTGGTGTTCCCTCGTGAAACTGCTCAGAACACACTCAAGGTCGAGCAGCAGTTCAGGTGAGGGAGGAAGGAACTATACTGCATTACAATCAGTCATGCCAAATGGCTACTACTCTACCTATTACGGTCCTATGTCCGAATCCATCTCATTCCTGTTTAGTATTCCAACATGTAATGTGGCATTGCCCTCAAATCCCCCTCCCCTCCCCTCCCCTCCCCTCCCCTTCCCTCCCCTCCCTTACCCTACCTCTCCCCTTTTCCCCTCTCGGCTCCTCTTCCCCCTCCTCCACTCGCCTTTTCCACCTCCGATCCCCACCCCTCCTCTAACCTCCCATCCCCACCCTCCCTTCCCCCCTCCTTCCCCTCCCCTCCAATCCGCTCCTCCCTCCCAGAAGTGATGTCAATTTCGTGTTTCTCAACATAGACAACGTGAAATGGGCGGCAGAGCTGGACGAGTTTGGGGTGGACGGCATTCCTCACTACACCTTCCTGGACGGCGAGGGTAACGAGATGGCGTACGTCGTGGGGAAGGTTCCCAGAAGAATCCTCCTAGATAATGTGTCTGCTCTTGCTCAGGGCATGCCGGAGCTCCCGTTCTCGCAATTTATTTCAGAAGCGTCAGATGCTGCATTGAGGCAGGCTCCCAGGGTTGTAGATCCGAGAGACCATGGGCCGTAACTGCTGATTGTGAATAAAAATATGGAGCCCACAGGCCTGTGATGTCCCCGACTCACCCCGACTCACCCCACAGTTCAATTCAGAAGGGTCAGATGGTGCGTTGTGGCATGCTCCTAGGGTTGTGGATCTGACAGATCACGGGCCGTAACCGGTAATAGTGATTTTTTGTGGTGTACGAAATGATTCAAATGTGCCTGCCTGCTACCCCACTCTGGCATTTGATTCAACTGTCAAACTTAGGGTAACATGGGGAAAGCAAGAAGCAAGTGGGGATGTCTTGCAGGCAGCAATTATGGTCATGGGAGTAGGGACGAGTGGTGTGAAATGGGCGAAGGTGGTACGGTGAGTGAGAGAGTGGAATGGAGCTTGCATGGGTGTCAAGGAGAGAGA